AAATAGGGCAGGCAAGAACCTACATTTCCATGGGAAGAATTGGTTTAACCCAATTATTAATACACCATTTACTCAGAATTAGCTACAAGTGAAAAGCAGCAAACTCCTAATAAGTGATATTTCAACAGGTCCTTCTTTTCCTCCAGGACAGACTCGGCCTGGGAATGGTTTTACAAATCATCTCTACTCAAAATGGTTCAGTTATTTCAAACTCTCATTCCAAATTGGCATTATCTTTTGGGATGATATTTGGGATAAGAAAAAATCTCCCTTCCTTATTTCAGATTCAAAGTCAGGTTTTGCCCCTCAGCTCGTCCCTTTGTAATTTGTGTGACCACCTGTATTTCAGCACATCATGAAAAAAAAAACCCAATTCTTTTTTTCCCACAGAAGCTATGGAAAGATCCCCTGTCCCTTGGAAACTTTCTAAAATTCATTATGCTTCACACTTTTGGGTTAATTTTTTTTAACTAGATCTTCCTCCTGAAAACCATTGGCTCCACCTGAGAAAATTCACAAATATATATATTTTAATGTTTCATTTTCTACTTTTTAACTCCACATCTTTTATTCCTGAAGACTCTTATGTGCATCTTTCTGTGCATGTTCAAGCATTCAGTCCATCTTGACAATTCCTGGAATTATAACGTGGATTTTTCTGTTCGATGGCACAGCACTACAGGGAAAACAACCATTTCAAATCCATCAATGAATTCCAACCAATTCAGCCCAAGAAATCCAGGAAAGGGAGGCAATGCAGAGGGAGGCACTACTCAGCAATCCCCATCTCAGGAATTAAATGAATAAAAGCAATCTGAAGCAAAGAGGAACAAAATAGCAGAGCACACATTTCCACTTCCCCTGGCATCTCCCTCTCAATCATCTAAATGGTTCATTTAACCTGTTCCTAAGTGCCCCTGTGGAAAAAAAAATGCAAATTTTCATCCAAGTAAAAATGACTCATCACTTAAACAGGAGGATCTTCACCCAAGTCAGCAAAGAATTGCAAAGTGAAATTGGGGATGTAGATAAGCCACAAAGCCACGAGCAAAGCTGAGTCTACATCAAAGAGCAGCAGAGAAAACCCAGCTTAAAAAATGGTTATGAGTGCCAGAAAGTCATGTCGTGGCCTGAGAGATTCTCCACTTCAACACCAAAGCATCACCAAGCCCAGATTTCTGCGACCTGCAGCAAAATCCCTCCTGTGGGAGCCGGGCTGTGTGGGGTGGATAAGGAAGGCAATGTTGGGATTTCCCCTGTTTGATTTCCTGTTTCCCTGTCCCAGACTGGTTTGGGTTGGAAAGGACTTTAAATCTCATCCCACCTGCCATGGGGCAGGGCCACCTTCCACGGGTGCTCCAGCCTGGCCCTGACATTCCCAGCCTTGCTCATCCATCCCCATTCCTCTGCCCTACAAGCAGCAGAAATCCAGGGCTTTTTTGCCTAGAGAAAGGCAGATGAAAGCTGCTCTCCCCTCCAGACACAATAAAGCCCAAAAAACCACGCAGAGGCTTTTAGAGAGCCAGGAGGAGAGAAGGAATTAAGAAATCCAACACCAAAGAGGCCCCAGCAGCACTCGGAGTTGGGTGAAGCCTTTCAGGCCGAGCAGGCCCGAGCACAGATATTATTGTTATTATTTATTACATAACACCCAGGATTGCTGCATTTTCCCTTCACCCACAGCCACCTCCTGGAGCACTTACACTGTCACTGTCCCCATGCTGGCCTGCTTTCCTCTATCCAGGTAAATACAGAGGCCTCATCTCGGAGGCAGCTGAGTACCTATTATGCCCTGCTGTTTCTCCCTCGCACTTATCCTATTATGCCATTACAGCTGCTGTAGGGTCGGGTGTTTTCTATTTTGTGACATAATATTGTGGGCTCAAGTCCCCCCTCCCCGTGCCCAGCACATGAGGAGTGCTGGTAAAGAGCCCTTCAGGTGGCAGCAGGCAGGGCCACAAATGTGTCACCAACAGGATCCAGGAGCTGCTCGTCCCCACAGATGCTGCAGTGCCTCCCATTTATCCACAAATTACCCCTGGGGAAATATGAAAAGGCAGCACCGACCCAAAATAACAGCCAACAGCAAATAAAGGCGCTTCAAATGTGCAAATAGAGACAACTTGGGGGCCTAGCAGGATGGATAACCTCTCCCTGCCTTTTAAACAGAGGGAAATATCATTTCAGGGCTTGTATTCTCTGTTCTTTCCACCTCCTGCAGCTGAAGGCACCTGAGCAGCAAAGTGGGAAGTGGGTGCTGCCAGGGACAGAGGGGTCTTTCCCTTCACCTGGGCTCTCTGTGTGCAGGGGAACTTCGGTGACTTTTGTCCTTGAAATCCCCCCTGATACTTTTGTTGCTGGAGAAAAGTCCAAGTGGGCTCTGCCGTGGCCACTGGGTCCAGCAGAAGTTTCTTGTGCCACTTTGAGCCACTGACCTTGAGAGTTTTGAGCCCTTTGGGCACCTGAGGCTGGGACAAATTCCAGTTTACAGCCAGCCCAGGACACGGTGGATGGAGAAGAGCTCAGCAGGAGGAGCTCCCAACCAAACTAAAACAGAACAACAGGGCAGAAGGACTGGACAGACACCCAGGAGCTGGGACAGGGAAAGCTCCAGCCTTCCACCTCTGCCTGAACAAAACACCCCAGGGAATGAAGGTGACCTGCAAAATGATCACACAGTCCCTGGGACCCATCCCATAACCATCCAAGGCTTTTTATTTCTATTCCTGTAACTATCCAAGGCTTTTTATTTCTATTCCTACACATGTAGAAGGCACCAAGCACAACCAGGGGGTGATTTACTCAACCAGGGGGTGATTTACTAAGCTCAGCATCAACAAAGAGTAAAAAACTCTGAAAGCCATAGGAATTAACTGCCTCCAATTCATGCCATCTTCTGAGCTGAAGCATTGTGTTATTTTTAAGGACAGGTTCCTAAATCTCTGTTTTGAGATTGCTGTTTTAAGGCCACAGGGGAGGAACACTGCAGTGCCACCACATCCAGATCCCAGCTGCTCCAATCCCAACCCTTGGCAACAAGTGCAGAGCTCCAGGATCAGAGCTGAGACCATGGCCAAGGAAAAACAAACACATTTCTACCCTATTTTAAACCACAAAATTACTGCCAAACAGTTTAATTATCAAATAATCAGGGCTTTTTGTATTTTTCTAAAAAAATAAGAATATAAATTATATCTTAACTGTTATATTGTATCCATATCTGCTGTCCTGGATGTAGCTGAGCTGCTTATCAGAGCAAAGAAAGAGATATTCAAGTTGATGAAGAGCAAATTCTGCTTTTTTGGCTCCTTCTCCAACTTTATAAACCCAGGCTGCACTAATCTCTAAATAAATCAACAAAGCTAATTCTTAATTCTGAAGAATATGGAAGATCCAGAGCCAAGGGGAACCAGAAGAGCACGAGGAGAAATTGCAAAGGGGAAGGAAGGGTGTTTGTGGTTCTCAAATCATCCCCATCCCTGAGCTCACTGCACTCAGTAAACTCAATAAAAGAATAAGAAAGTCTTTCTCCATTTCAGCTGAGTGTTGAGTGAGTTCCCCCCCATCTGTCAGGGCCACTCTGGCTCAGGGATGGGCTGAGGTGTTCCTGATGCTCCTCCCGTGAGTGCTCCTGCAGGCTGAAGCAGAATGTGACTCAGCTCTCGAGGAAAGCTCAATAGGAAATGAAAGCTGTTGACCTGAGAGGGCCTTTCCTGGCACAGCTCAGGCTGGGAGCACGCAGAACACGGGATCCCTTTGCTGACAGCAGCTGCCCCGACTTTGGAAAGTTTTAAAATGCTGAGGATGCCACAGGGAGCTCATTTTGTACCATTTAAGGGCTGAGTTCTGCCAGCAGCTCCTTGTTTAGAGGGGTGAAAACCCCACTGGCAATAAGGTGTTGGGAAGAGTTTGACCCCAAAATCCATTTTGGAGCTCCCTGAAAGACCACTTTGTTGGCTGTTAAATCAGCTTCCAGTCCAGGACCCAGCCCAGCATTCCTATTGTGAATTTTCACCACAGACTATTTAATTCTATTTAAACGTCCCAGCTTAAATTGTACCTGACAGAGATCCTGACACAAATTTCCTCATCTGTGTTTCTGGTTTGCACATGCTGCCAGTGTCTGTCAGTCTTTTCCTAAAGCCAGAATCCCATCCTAAGATCTGCACTTCACTGAAATCCATGCAGAAATCACCAAGAACAGACTCACAACTTACAGTCATTCCGTAATTTTCCATAAAATCATACATTCCTTTGCAACCACTGTAATATCCCTGTTCCACAGCCTGTGGTGAAGCATCCCACTGAACTGAAGTGATGTACAATGGTCAACAAAGCAGTGAGAGATGAGAATTTGGGTTATTGTTTCTATTCCACTTGTAAAAAAACCCAGTGAGCACCATCATCAATGTCCCTCTTTAGGGTGTTTCAGTTCATGAAGATGTCTGAAGTCCCCTCCTCTTAAAATCAGCCTGGAATGTCACAAAAATGAAATTGTTTCAGTAGTTCCTAAGGTTCATCAAGTCCAAGCTGTGACCCATCTCCACAGAGCCCTGAGTGCCAGGGCATTCCTTGGGCATCTCCAGGGATGGGCACTCCAAACTTTCCTGGGCAGCCCCTGCCAAGGCCTGAGCTCCCTTTCCATGGGGAAATTCCTGCTGCTGTCCACCCTGAGCCTCCTCTGGCCCAGCCTGAGGCTGTTCCCTCTCCTCCTGTCCCTGTTCCTGGGAGCAGATCCCAAATCCCACCGGCTGTCCCCTCCTGCCAGGGACTTGTGCAGAGCCAGAAATTCCCCCTGAGCCTCCTTTGCTCCAGGCTGAGCCCCTTTTCCAGCTCCCTCAGCCCCTCCTGGGGCTCCAGACCCTTCCCAGCTCCGTTCCCTGCCCTGGACACTCTCCAGCCCCTCCAGGACCTGTTTGAGGGCTCAGACTGGACACAGCACTTGAGGTGTGAGCTCACAGAGGGCAACACCCTCCCTGCTCAGCACTGCTCCGTGGAGACAGCTAATTAACCTGGCATCATTAACCTGCAGAGTTAACCTGCCACGCCAGCCCTGCTCTGGGCATCCCAACCAACCCATTTCCAGCTGGTTCCCCCAGCTCAGAGCCCCCCAGCCAGCGGGGCTGAGCTCAGGGGAGTCAGACCCAGCTCAGCAGGCAGCAAATGCTGTCCCTGGGGAAGCTGGAGGAGAGACAGGCCACAAATCCCTGGTTTGTCTGTGCAGGAAAGGGCAGGACACAGCCCAGCAGCACTGCCAGGAAAAGGGGACACACATCAGGCACGTTCCAGAGGGTCCCACAGGCAGCTCAACTCACACAGAGCTTCTGAGACTTCAGCTGGACCTTCCAGACCACCACAGACAGGTGTGGCAGGAGTATTGGTGAGATTATGGCTCAATCAGAGAGCAAAAATCTGTTTATGTGGATAGATAGGTATTGATTAAATAGATAAATAGAGGTATTTGATAGATATATTTATACAATTAGAAGATATATTATATATGTATATAAATACATATTTTTTACAAATCAGCACATCCAGCCCACATATGATCTGTACATCCAGGGAAAGCTCAGCCTGAGATTCTGTTCCAAATTAAAAGCAGCCCTGCTGCAATTAATCACAGCCTGCTTGATGAAGCACACACTGAAAGGACAACAAGAATTCTGGGAAGCTCAGCCTGTCATCTGCAGCCACAACAAGTTTGGTTTAAACCTCAGGACAATGAGGATTTGTCACCCAGCCCCTGGTCTGAGCTGCTCTGAACACTGTCCCCAAAACAGATGGCTCAGAAGATCCCAAAATATCATTTACAAAAGTTTAGATTATCACAAAATTAAATAACATCCATCCAAAGTGGCTTTGAACACTGAACTCTCACTTCTTTTATTTACCATGATTTTATTAATTACTCAATTCAACTATAAACTTGATTATTTACTTCCTTCCCTCTAATTCCTTCCATTCTCTGTCTCCCCATCCCCATTCTCCCCTTTACACCCTACAAAAATTGAGTCACCCCTGGAAAGTTTACAAAGCTCTGGGATTATCTTAAATCACGTGAGATGACACACAAATATTCGTGCTTCTTCCAGCAATTCTGAAAACTCCAGCAGAACTGTACTCTCTCTTCATTTCTTTGCAAGGAGATATTAAAAAACCTCTCCCAGGATTTAACTCACTGAGCTATTACAGTTTTCAATAGAAAAATGTCTTAGTGAAAAACTCCTCATCAGCTTTTGCTTTAAATTAAGGGCTTAGATTTTATCTGAGGCTGAATCCGCTGCTAAACAAGACTTTTCTCCTGGCTCCCAGCTCCTACAGATGTAAAATAAAAATAAAAATAATAATAATAAAAAGGTTATAAATATATTCTAAGGGCAGCCCTTACAATGAAGAAATGTTCCATGATCCAGATGTGTCTCCTAAAGCTCCTAAAGCCTCAGAGGGGTGATATTTGCACAGTGGAGTTCTCCCAAAAAGCCAAATCTGAGCATTTTGCACCAAGAAGCCCAACAGCCAAAAAAAATTGAAATAAATAAAAAAGTGGGCAGAAGGCACTTTCTGCAGTGGTTGGGATTTTGGTAGGAATGTCTAAAATAGATCAGGGTAAGAGAAAATTTGGGCAAATTTCTTCCTGGAGGAGCCCCAAACCTACAGCTTGTCCTATAGGATCAATTCCAGAGGTTCTTTGAGACATTTAGGGTTTGGTAGAACATTTCTGCTGCCTGATATTATTATTATTATTATTATTATTATTATTATTATTATTATTACTACTACTACTACTACTACTACTACTACTACTAATACTATTACTATTATTATTGTCATTATATGTTGCCCAATAATTCGAAGAGGGAACACAAACAGTAACGAATAAGAAAAAAAACCAACTCTTACTAAAAGATAATAGATGCAAATAGAAAAATGCATATTTATCAAACAAGCAGACAGCAGCAGTGTGACATTTGCAGATTTCAGGACCTTTAAACGCAGGAATACTGTCCAAAGAGAAAAAATGAAATTAATTTAATCAGTTCTGTGACTCCACTCAAGGTTCTGAGCCAAACCAGAACCTGAGAGGACCTCAGAAGGTCTCTGGTGCAACTTCCTGGGATCCAACCAAAGTATTTTGGGTTTAATCCCATTCCTCATCCACCCTGTGGCTTCCAGCAAGAGAAAATCCTCCACTGGTGTTTATAAAATCACTGAAAGGTGGGGAAGAACCTTAAAATCCATCAAATCCAGGGTCACCTCAACCAGAGCAGCTGCTCTGGGTAATCACCACCACCATTGGGTTTTCCCTTCCCATTCCTGAGTTTTAAATCCAACTGGGTGCTTTTTGTTCAGGGCAGCAGATTGCACCCCTGAATCGATTTAATTTGTTGTTTAATCACCCGTTATTTATACAGAATTCTAAAAGGCATCCCAAGAATAACTAAAATCCCTTGACATGATGCCTTGACTCAAGCTTATTTCACAACAAATCCAGAAATGAGGAGAAAGAACCATGGTTACAGTGAAAATTCCACCCAGTTCCTTCAGAGATGGCTCATCTCTCCACAGCCCTGACAGAAACGCAGATATTTCAGAGGAATAAATCATTTCATGTGGTCAATACTGAAGAAGGGAGGTTTTAGGGGGGATTTGCATGTTGAAAAGGTGATGACTTGGCAGAAAGCTGGCAGGATTTTCTATGCACAGGCAGGAATCTGAACCAGAGGTGGAAATCAGGGTGGTTATCAACAGCACAACAGGGGGAGGGAGAACCAGAAACAAAGGCTGGGGTAAATTCTGGAGGAAGAAGAACATGACTTTACCTGGTTTATTGCTCTTAAAGCCAACACTGGCACATTCCTGAGGGGCTTGGGTCCCACCTGTGCTCAGCTCAGCTAATCCTACCCAGAATATTATTTGTAACTTATTATTTGTGTCTTGTTCTTATTCTTTGAGTGGTTTTGCCACGTAAAGCAGGATGAAGCTGGACAAGAAAATGAAAAGCTGGTATGGGAAAACTACCATCAGTTAAGAGCTCATTTTGATTTTGATAAAGGCCTGAACAGGCCTCTTAAACTTACAGAAATCATGGAATGGTTTGGGTTGGAAGGGACCCTAAATCCCATCCCATTCCAGGGACACCTCCCACTGTCCCAGGTTGCTCCAAACCTCATCCAGCCTGGCCTTGGGCACTTCCAGGGATCCAGGGGCAGCCCCAGCTGCTCTGGGCACCCTGTGCCAGGCTCTCCCCACCCTCTGAGCCAGGAATTCCTTCCCAAAACCCCATCTAAAACTCTCTAAATTCCTCTAAATCCTGCAGCAACTGAAAAAGCAACCAGGCCCTAAGAGGTGACACCAGACATGAGTGTCCCTTCTCAAACCACGGACAAAAAATTACTGGTAAACCAAAAGAACAGGTGGAAACACAATCTGTGAAATTCCCTTTTTTAAACCTATAACTCACACCCAGGTTGAGTCTTTGCAGTCAAAACAAATGTAAAGAAACAAATCAATGCCCACAATTCTCAGGACATGCCCAATGTTTCCACACCCACCACCCTGGCTCAGGAAAATTCATTCCTGTCCATAGAAGTGGGAATTCCATGCAGAGCTTGATGAAAGCAATAGAGCAGGTTGCAGGTGTATAAATACAAGTGAAATTGTTCTACAAATCGCTTTCCCACCCAAATCACCTTGTGGCAAAGGGAAATAATGTTCTGAAATGTGAATTAAGGCAGCTTTGAGCACACGAGGCACTTCTGACACGACACCAAAACAGAGCAATTGACCCGAGTTGGAAAGAAAGCAACAGTCATTAAAAAAACTCTTCTTTCTCTTCCTTGCCAATATTGTCACGTGAAAGTTTCCTGCTGAACTTTCAAAGTTCTGCTTTGGTTAAACTCTGGCCCATATTTTGAAGAAGGAGGAGTGAAATCTGCCAGCACAAAACTGCCAGAACTCAGGGAAGTCAGGACAGGTCCCTGACATTCCCACACAAGAATTCCTGCCTTGCCCCCTGTTCCTGAAGCATCCAACTGATGCTGTGACAGTTTCCATCAGATCAGGGGCTGTCCCTGCACACCCCCTGCATTCAGAACCTTTCCAGCACTCAGAGTTAACCACAAATTTGCCCTGATTTCCTGAAAACCAACATCATCTCACCCATTAGGACAATAATTGCCTGGCTGGTCTCTCACTGCACACTTCTCCCACAGCTTCCTCTGCCTGAATGAGTCTCTCCAAGCAGGCTTTTCCCAGTGGAAGATAAGTTCTTTCATGCCTTATTTCAGACTCTTCTACTTTTAAAGAATCTCTTTTCTACCTGCCAGGCTTTTCTCCCATCAAGGGATAAATTCCATGAACAAGGAGGAAAGCAGTGCCAATTCCCTGGGAAGGTTGTGGCACACAGAGCCCACCTGGACACCAAATCCATGGTGGTGGCTCAGTTCTGGGGGTTTGCACACCCCAAAATCCTAAAAAGGCAGAGGGTTGTCTAATCAGTGATTTAAAGTAACACAGAATGGATTTGGGATTAGCCAAAGGTTCATAATCCAAGGGTTCAGCTTTTCCGGACACAACTCTGGGGTAGCTCTTGTTGCATTCTGGACTCTATAAACCCTCCACAAGTGTGCAGTGACACCCTGGCCACTGGCAGGGGACAAGAACCCTGATTAATGCACCAAATTCTCATCAAATCTGAACAAAATAAAACTTTGCTGACACAATTTCTGCGTGTGAGAGCTCACAAGGACTCACCAGGGAAGCTCCAAACAGGGGAGGTGGTGCTTGCCTGAAGCTCCAGGTGTGATGGAGCCTCTGCAGAGCTCAGATCTTCTTCCTGTGCCTTGGGCAGGTCTTTCCTGGAGATTTCCAGCCCTGGCTCCCAGCTCCAGAAGAATCCAGGTGATCCTTTCTCTTTTTCATGAGCAATTCCCACTGAAGTTAGTCCTATGAGATGGGGGAAAAAAAAGAGATATATTTATTTCTTTCTTTGCAGAACAGAACTGTAAGAGTTGCTCACTGAAATCCCACGAGAAAGAGTGAAATAGGTGCCTGGGACTTGAGCTGACACCACACAGAGAACTTCAGAGTACAAGAATGGAATCTGGGGCAAAAAAAACATTTTTATATGCTCATATTAAAAGCAGCGTGAACACAAGTTGTTTTGATTAATAAGGAGATAATATCATTTTTAAAAAATTAAACAGAGTGAAGCTTTCCCTTCTCCACCTGAAACAGATCAGACTGGAACACCTCTCCCCCTGAATCACCCTTTTTACAGCAAATTTCATCTCTGGGCCCAAATGTTTCTGCCTTTGCTCTAAAAAAACTTCTTTTTCCCCCCTGGCAAACCACCACATTCCCCTGGCACTCTGGAGTGTGCAGACACACCAAATTCTCCCTCAGCTCTAAGATTTCCCTACCTAAAGAAAACACCTCAAGTAATTCAAAGATTTACTCCTAGATTTGGGAGGTCAGAGTGGAGGAGGAGGAGGGAGGAGCAGGACTCGGGGTTGGTGGAGTCACTCAGTGGGCATCTCTCACCAGGAGTGCAAAAGCAGAGCTGTGCATGCAGGAAGCTCTGCCAGATAAACCCACAGCCTCAAAAAGCAAAGAAACGAGCCAGGCCTGATCCTGATTCATCAGTATTCAGCCGTGGATTCAGCGGGACAGCTCGGAATTTACACTGGAATAAGGAAAAATCAGGATTAGGCACCATCTGTCTCGGAGAGTGAAGCGACCAGAATTGCTCTGCACATTTGAATCCTCTTCCCCCATTTCTTTAATCTCTTGCACATTCCAGGTTTTCCATTCAGCTCCGGTGACAAAAGATTTTACAAAATGACAGTCCAGATTGAGAGAAAAAGAAATTACAACCTCTGACAAAAGAGATGCCAAACTTTTTATCAACGATAAGTGCTCCTTCCACGCAGACCCGGGGCTGCAATGGTAAATATAAGGCAGATGTCGAATGGAAATTAAACATTGTGCTCCCAGGGTGGCCTCAGCTGCATTCAGAGCTTGATTTAAAACAAGGCCAGAGTTCTTTCATCATTTCTTCAAAAAAAAAGTTTCAAACGTAAAGATATTCCAAACAGGCGCATACTTGACCTAGAACTTGGCGGTGCAGGACAATAAATGAGTGTAAAAAGCACCAGCACGGGGGAGAAAAGGCAAAGTGAGCTGTCTGCAGGATGGACTGGGAGAATTTGGTCCTCAAAGCACTTCTATTTCGGCATCCTGAGAGTTAAGAGGGAATCCAGGTGAAATATCTTGGCCCCCTTTCTAAATTCCCACCAAAACCTCTCATTTGGGAGGCTCGGCCAGCTCGATATTCTGCAACAGAACCAAAACCAAGCCCAAGGACCCAGCAGTTTGAGGAGTATTTCCCTGCCAGCTTCTTTAAGACTTAAACCATATTTACATCTGTGCAAGCACTGGTATTATTAGACATGATAAAATAGCACGAGACGTTTGCAATGGCTCAGATATTCAGCCTCAAGCAGCAGATATTTGAACGGTCTGCAGTGTTTGCTTTTAATAATTTCTGATCATGTAACAGCTCAGCCAAAAAAACATAATAATAGGCTTCCAAAAATTAAACCCCCAGACTGTTAAATATCCTGTACAGTGAGGGCAGAGAGAATAAATTTAAGGATTGAAAGGATGATGCTCATATTTATAGAAACAGTTAAAAGCACAAACCAAATTGCATTTGCTTCCCTTTCACTTTCTTAGATTTTTTTTTAAAGTCAAGTTAAAAAAAAAAATAATAATGAAAGTGAAATGAGTGAAATATTTACATCTTGAACACATAAATATGTTTGCACTCTTCTGGGCAGCTCCCTTTTAGAGATAATTTTCTCCTCGCAGCAATATCACCTCAAACGCAGTAAAACAAAAAAACTTTTGAGGCCATGACTTTGTAACCTCCCTGAAGTTTTGAACACGGGCAGAACTGGCCTGTGCACACACAAGACAATCAAACACACGTTTAAACATCAAGCAAACTCCTGCCTATATTCATTTATTTTCGCCTTCCACCAAAGGAAGAAATTGTGACAAGATTTTACTTTGAATGCCCTGACAAAGCAGCACTTTCTGGCACGAACAGGACACTCATCCCCCCTTCATCTCCCAGCACAAGATTCAATCAGCTGAAACACAAACCTCATTCTGCACTGAGAGATTTTTATTTATTTTTTTCTTTTTCCCCCCCAAATAAAACCAACTCGCAAACAGCCTCCCTGGCCTTTTTAAAACCCCGTTTTCAATTGCTTTAAAACATAAAATAGAGATGGATGGATGGATGGATGGATGAATGGATGGACAGCTAGAGAAATGCTTTCAGTCATGCTTCCTCCCCCCCCACAACACCTTTAAAATTGAAAAGCATCAGTATCCAAATAGCAACAGGAAATTTTTACCTTGTGACTAAATAGCTCACTGTTCACTTTGCAGCTGCCTCTATTTTTTGCTGGGCAAAAAAAAAAAAAAAACAACCAAAAAAAAACCACCAAAAAAAAAAAAAAAAACCCAAAAAAACACCAATACAAAAGTCTTTCCTAAGAAAACCAAGCTTTTGACATAAGGGCAGCGCCAAACGCAAACCTACAAAGAAATTTCTTTTTTTCCCCCCGTCCCGTCGTTATAATTCCTAATTTTGTGGGATGTATTGCTGGGGCTGTTTATCATAACAGTGTGCAATAAAAAGGACGACTAACTCTTGCAATTTTCTCCCTACTCCTCCCCTTGACAGGGGCCACTGATAGGGAAAGAGGCTCGGAAAAGCAGAGCAGTGAAAGGCTAAGAAACAATAGGCAACCATGGCTTTGACAATGCAGCCCTGAACCCTTTTTGCTCCCGCTGTGACACTTGCATTCAAGAGCAAGGGCGGCTGCCATCATAAGAATGGACAATGGCATGAGGAATACAAGGGAGAAGGGGGGGGATATATATATATATATATATATATTAAAAAAAAGGGGGGGAAATCAGATGAATTCAGAGCTAAGATGGCAGAGCTCTCACCTTTTCCGCTTTTTTCGAGTAATCTGGATGGAGACGTCCCGCAGAGAAGAGATAAAAAGGGTTGTGCTGAACTGTTGGATGGTTCTGAAGACTTCTGCATTTGCAAACGCATTTTAGAACTATTTGTAGGGGTATATATGCTGCATGCCATCTCTCTGTCTCTGTCTCTCTCTCTCTCCCTGTGTCTCTCTCTCTTCTGTTTTATGTCCTGCTATCTCCATCACACACCTCTAATAGTATGAAGACTTTCTGCCCGTGTAAGTAAGTGAGAGTGTGTGTGTTCCTTAATGTTTGAATCAAGACACACGTCTGCATGCATTTCTAATCTAAGGAGCCTATAGCAGTTACTACAACTATCAATTAGTCAGCAATAGCTCCAGATCCCCATGTGTCTGGGTGAACAAAGGTGAGAAACACATGCAAATAGTCCTCCAGCACCTGGGTCACGTACAGTAACTTAGCCAGCAACAAATAATTGCATCTGTTTCTGCCTTTTTTTCCGTGCTCCTCGCTCGCTGGGATGCAAAGTTCCAGGTTATTAATGTGGAATAGCAGCACAATTAGGCATGGCACTGTCTATTTTCAGCCCAACGACACAATAAAAGGGAATTAAGCCGAGCTGGGATGGGAATAAACGGGGGACTTAAAAGGGTTTAAAGTAAAAGATGCTCTGAGCTGTTGCAGTGCTTCCATTTTATTTTATTTTTTATTTTTATTTTTTTTTGAGCAATTGTTTTGAGTTAAAGGATGCGAATGATGTAAGATGTATTTGGTCGTTTCATATCTGTTAGATAAGAAACTGATTATTGCAGAGGAGACAGAGTGGATGCCTAATTTCCTGAAGTTAAGTCCATAAAGAGGGTAAGCTAAATCTGTTACTATTTTTTTATTAATTAAGCGACTGTTACTTCTAAGATCATTTTAAGGGTGTTTTTTTTTCAGATGTTTTAGACTTAAGCCAAACAATTAAGAAGAAAGATACGGTACCTTTTACTCTCTCCTTCTTCTTAACCTCACAAAAAAATGAGCCTCACCTTTAAAAACTGTCAGAATCAAAACGAGCTAAAGAAAAACCCTCCCAAAAACCCTAAAAAGAATTAAATTAAAAAAAATAATAATAAAAAAGCCCTGAATAAAATCAAAAACAATAAAATGCAAAAAGCTCCGAAATCCAGCACCACCCTGACTCCACCACAAGAAAAGACAGAGCTAGGCTGCGATCCAGAGAGCATTTCAGAGGTGACAACACAGGCTGGGGACAATGTTATTTACACAGATTTGATCAGAGCGGCCACGGGCTCCAAACTCTAATTGAATTTGCAGAAATTATCCAGCCCGCATTTCGGAGTGCGGGGAACTCCGAAAACGAAGCGGTTCCACAGAGTTTGGGGATGAGAATAAGCATCATTTTTTTCCCCCCCTGCAAGGCTGCACAAACTCTCTCGTTATCTCCCTTTCTCCTGATCTCAGCTTCCGTGGGAGGCTAATTAGTGACACCAAAGGCAAAATATCCTCGCTGCTTTTGGGCTCAGAGGAACTGAGTTTATTTAGCTTGAGACAGCATAAAGGAAAAAGAAAAATTATAAAAAATATAAAAAAAAAATTAAATTAAATCATCTTCAATTTCAAATAACTGATGAAAGCAACCCCTCCCCAGCTCCCTCACCTTTTAGGAACAGCCAGTGGCTGGAAGGTTGGAGCTGCTAACGACACTGAAGGTGCTCAAGATTAAAGGAGAGCTGCAGGAACAGCTTTGCCCCGAGAAGCCCTGGCTGGGAGCATCCCAGAGCTGAGCCTGAAAATAAAGCAGGAACGGGCTGGAAAAACCCCGCTGCTGGGTGGGTGTTGTGCTCTGACCCACCATCCACTCCCAAACTTGGGAATTGCAGGAGAACTGGAGATTCCCAGTCAGGAGCATCACCTGCAGCGGCCGGGCTCTGCATCCCTGGCTGGACCAGCTCCGCTCTCAGGGCAGGGAAAACCCTCCCAAAAAAACCTCCCCCCCTAAAATAAACCCACCAAAATAATCTCAACCCTCTCCCTGAACAATGAGACCTTCTAAAATCCACATTCGGGAGGGTATTCCGTGCAGATAGGCAGGGGGAGGGGGCGGGGGATGAGGACAAC